TACACCATTTCAAAAATTTCTACATGCACAGTTCAGTGACACTGATTACGCTCTTCCAGTTGGCCAGCAACTGTTTTTTTATAGACTGAGTCTTAATGTGTGACCCACATTAAGTCAGCTGCTTTTCCTATAAGTTGCAATGTTCGGGCACTGCAGGTGGCTGGCAATATTCTTTTGCTTACTTGTCTAATGTGTCATAGACCAGAAATAGTATATGCAGTGCATCGAGAATTCCTGGCACACAGTAGAAACTTTAGAGTTAGTTCCCACCTTCCTTTCTTACCCTTCAAAACCAGGAACCATGTCTTATCCATGTTTGAATCCCCAGTGGCTAACATAGTGCCATGCACATCCTCAGCTCACATGAATCTATGAAGCATTCTAAGTCTTCCAGGCAGAAATGCCCTCACGGTTATTAGGTGCCATCAGGTCATTTTCAACTCAGTCTCATAGTGACCCCATGTGACAGTAGAACTGCTCCATGGGGTTTTCTTGGTTGTGATCTTTACGAAAGCAGATTGATTGCCAGGTTTTTGTCCCAAGGAGCTGCTGGGTGGCTTTGAACTGGTCGCCAACCTTTCTGTTAGCAGCCAAGCATTTAACTGTTTGTACTGCCAGGGCTCCTTCATAAATGCACTTGAGCACCTTTAAAAATATATAAAGTATTCCTCACATCCAAACCCTCACTATCCAAACCCAGGAGCCTGGGTGATTCTAACAAGCATTCAGATTAATCCCTGACATTCCAAACTCTCAGGAGTTACTCTCTGAAACTCAGGATCCTCGCCATCCGAACTCTGATTACTGAAACTCACTATTTGAGCTCAGTTACTGTATTTGGCTGACATTTTGAGCTCCTTCTATGTTTTATGACACAGATCACCTAGAGTAGCACGTTTCGTTACAAATCACTTTGTATATTATTTTGGAACAAGCTTCTGCATTTATACTTGAGTCGGGTATGTTGACGTGTTGGAAATCATGATGTTGGACTTCAGGCAAAGCCATGCCACAATGAGTAACCTTATGCAAATGATATTTCTTTATTTCTTATAGATTGCTAGAGGTGGCCAGGTCCAAGGATAAACACATCCATGGTTTGGGTAGCTATTGCCACATTCTTCTCCACAGTTTGCACTCCCAGGGGCAGTGTATGAGACAGGCTTGTTTTGTCGCAGCTTCCGCCAGCAGAATGCATTGTTAACCTTTTGAAACTTTTTTGTATACTATTTTAAATTTTGTTTCTTACTGGCTTTTTCTTACCTCCACAGACTGAGAACGTACAGGCTACGCTATCAGAGGAGAGCCGTTCTGAAGGAAAAGTTGGCTTGAAGGCCTATAAGAGTTACTTTGCAGCTGGTGCCCACTGGCTCATTATCGTTTTCCTTATGCTGCTGAACGCTGCTGCTCTGGTAAATCGTGAGCTTTGTTTCTGTCCTTAGACTGATGATTATAAATACCCCTGTGTATGCTGTCATTACTGCATTTTGCAATTCACTTGGAATTAGCTTGAAAAGCTCTGTCTGGGGGGAGCAAAATAAGTGATGTTTACTGGTGTTGGGCACACATTACAAAGAGCATTTAGGAAAGAAGAATAACAAAGATTTTTAAAATGGAATGTACATTTACTCCACCTGTTGTTTCCTGGGGTGTTGCACTTGGCGCAGGCCCAAACTGAAAGGACCATTTTAGTTCTCTGGAATTTTTTGATTCTCTGTTTTAATGATGAAGAGTTTTGAGTCGGTTAGTAACCCCAGCAATTGGTTGTTTTTCCTGCTCCAGGTTGCCTATGTCCTTCAGGATTGGTGGCTTTCGTATTGGTGAGTTATTTCTCGTCTGACAGGAAGTTCTAAAATCCCTGCAAAGCCTCACTTTTCCCCAGAGTTGGGGGAGAGATGGAGTTGTTCAGCCTTCTCATCTAATCCTCACTTAGTTTACCTGAGAAGAAATTAAAGTTCTTGCTGGTGGAGTGCGACGCGTAATGGTCCGTACCCATGTCTGATCCTCAGCCACGTGTTCACAGACAGTTTTGAGAACGGGAAGTCATGATTCAAATTGGGTTTTTATAAGGTGGATGGACGTACCCAGGACTGTGGGAGCTGACAATCATTCTCCAGCATAAAGTATTTCTCCCAGATTGAGGTTAATTTGTGTGTGTGTGTGTTTATCTAAACTTCATCTGTAGCTTAATATTTTTCTTTTTCCCCTGTTCCGTAGGGCAAATGAGCAGAGTGCACTGAATATCACTGTAAATGGAAAAGGAAATGTAACTGAGACGCTAGATCTTAACTGGTACTTAGGAATTTATTCAGGTAAAGTTTAATCATTTGGGCTGTTATGCAAGTCTGAGGTGCTTACAATGAGCCTGTGTAAGTGAGTAGGGCTTCCAGCAATAATTCAGTCATGTCTTAACAGATTAAGAGCCTGAGTCGCATTTACTCTGTGAATTAATTAGAATAATTATTTTAAAAATTGACTGGAAGAAAGAGGCTGAATGAAGACTCTTAATTTGCTGTGTACTGGATTTTGAAAGTTAAACCAGGATTGAGCATTCAGAAAGCCAGCCACTGGAAATATGTGGCTATTGTCTATTCTAATAGGTTGCTTTAGCTAAATCTTATATCATTATATGGATGGGCAAGGGGATTAGAAACGGATCCCCACCCTGTGATTCGGATTGTTCCAATTCTGTCTGAATAAACCCTGTCTTTTATTTAACTTGGATGCAATCCTCAGGAAGCAAAGCACCCAAAATAAAAGCATTATTCCCTCCCCAGTATGCAAAGCTCCCATCACCACACTGCTCATCTCTCGGGCTTCACTAATTATTTAAGAGGGAAGCTAAACAGGGACAAATCCTGTGTCTGGGAGTAAAGGTTCCTTCCCCTTCTTACCTCGAATCACAATGTTATCACATTCCCAACTGTATATGAATTTAATATTTGTCTTTCCAGACCGATATTACCACAACACTCTGTTCTTTTAAGAGCACTTGAAATATATGTAGCATTATGTACTTTTTAAAGAAAATGCTTATCTAAAATTGTAAATGTTTCTGCAGCAAACGCTCATACAAGCTCTCCTCAAAGATAGAATGAGTTATCTCTGTAAGAACCCACTCATTTGAATTTGGTATTTATTTCCTTGATCAATTGCTAAGAAATCTAAATCCATTAGCTGTTTACCTTCTGAATTGGTGGACCATGTGAGACCTGACGGAAGAAGAAAAACGATTATATTATATATTCATGTAGGATTGTGGGCTAAGAAAAATGCCTGTTGATGGAGTTTAGGCATTTGAGCTGCTTTCACAGTTTAAGTAACAATGATGTATCATCTAAAGGGAAAAAAATTACCCAATGGAATATTTATTACAGGAGCTATCCCCTCTCTATTCAGCATTGTGAGTTCAAGAGATACTAGGAAAGTTATTTTAATTTTTATATGCATAATAGGTACTCATTCATATCTCACTAATGAAATGTATCATTTGTATATAGAGTTAACACAAAATTAATGATATACAGTAACTCCCTGCAATGCTTTTGAAATTCTTCAAGTCAAAAATTATCTCAAAATAAGTTTTAAAAATTTCTAAGATTCAAAAACATATCATTTAAACTGTTCATTTAAAAATGCTGTATTTATTTGAAAACACTTAATGGAAAATTAGTTACTTGTTTAGATTAGTTGTCTTATGTTAAAATTTAAGTTGGTGTGTTTTCTTGGAAGTCAGCTACTTAAGAGGTTTTTCACTTGCAATTTAATGTGATATTTTCAAATTCTTTAAAGTGACTTGGGCATTTTTTATAAGGACAAGGTAAATCATTTCTCCTATTCTGTTAATACCATGTGCTGGCATCAAAATAGCACAATTTTAGATTATGGGACATGTTGTAAATAGTAAGATTTGGACTATGGAGAAGGGAAGATCAACTAATTTTTTGTTGTTGTTTATTTTGTTTTTGTTGTTGAGAATATATACAGTAGAACATATACGATTTCAACAGATCAATTACTTTTTATAATTGTTTTTCTTACTTCTGACTTTTTAATAAAACTTGTAATTGATTTGGAGCTCTGGTGGCACAGCAGTTAAGAGCTTGGCTACTAACCAGAAGGTTGGCAGTTCGAATCCAGCAGCCAATCCTTGGAAACCCTATGGGGCAGTTCTGCTCTGTCATATATGGTTGCTATGAGTTGGAATCAACTCGACGGCAACAGGTTTGGTTTGGTTATAACTGGTTTAGGAAGCCTAGGGTCCAGTTACAGTCTGCAACTAATTCCACCGCCCCCTTCCATTCAATGAGACAAAATGAATGGTTGTAATCCATTGTAGATTTATCTTGTGAATATGTTTTACTGTTGTAGAGCCCACAGACTTCATGGAATGAAATCAGTGATACCTGTATAAGCTGCCTGACCTGCCTTGGCATTGTGTAGGGCAATGCAGAAGTCCTGTGCTTGCTAAGGGCTGTTTCTGTATTTCAGGTTTGACTGCAGCCACTGTTGTCTTTGGTATCGCAAGGTCTCTGTTGGTATTCTACGTCCTTGTTAATTCTTCTCAAACTCTGCACAACAAAATGTTTGAGTCAATTTTGAAAGTTCCAGTGTTATTCTTTGATAGAAATCCAGTAGGTAAGTCGGACAACAAGTTTATTGGGAAATATGTCTTGCTAACACATTTAGTATCTGATTATATTTTTTTGTTTGAAATTGGGGGAGATACTTGGAAGGAAATCGCTATAGCGTGTTGATTCATTTTCCACAAAAAGCTTCCCTGCTGTTTTTCTTCTACCAGAGAAAATCTCAGTATAGGTGGCATGCAGTCTTTTATTCCAATATATGTAGGTGCGTATAAATAAATGAACGTTAAGTTTGCAGCAGGATTTAGGAATCCCTTTGTTTTATGACATATGAAATAACCTATATTAAATGCAAACATACTGAAATGTAGTTGGATGTTAAAGCATTGGCTATATTTACATGACTCTAGGAATCCCTGAGTAGCCATGGTGGCACAGTGGTTAAGCACTTGGCTGCTAACCGAAAGGTCAGCGGTTTGAATCCACCAGCTGCTTTGCAGGAGAAAGATGTGGCAGTCTGCTTCCTTAAAGATTACAGCCTTGGAAAGCCTGTGGGGTGGTTCTCCTCTGTCCTACAGGGTCTGTATGAGTTAGAATCGACTCTACAGCAGTGGGTTTTTTTGGATTTAGGAGTTGGTGGTTCAAATCCACCCAGAGGCGTACCTCGGAAGAAGGGCCTAGAAATCTACTTTTGAACAGTCACAGCCAATGAAAACCCTATGTGCAGTTCTACTCTGAAACACGTGGCTTGGCCATGAGTCTCAGTCGACTCAGTGGCAGCTGGTCAGGCTCTGGCATGCTTTAGGAAAGACCTCTGCATATCAGGGAAGCTCTATTTATTTATTTACTATTGTACTGTATTTTTTTAAAATCTTTTTTTTTTTTAATTATGCTTTAGATTAAGGTTTACAGAACAAACTAGCTGCTCAGTTAGTTACACATATTGTTTTCTGACATTTGTCAACAACCCCATGATGTGTCAACACTCTCCCTTCTCGACCTTGGGTTCCCCATTACCAGCTTTCCTGTCCCCTCCTGCCTTCTCGTCCTTGCCTCTGGGCTGGTGTGCCTATTTAGTCTTGTTTTGTTTTGTGGGCCTGTCTAATCTTTGAGTGAAGGGTGAATCTCAGGAGTGACTTCGTTACTGAGCTAAAAGGGTGTCCAGGAGGGAAGCCGGCTTTAGCAGGCACCTGACTGGATGACATGAGACAGGCTGTGTGTTTTGTTTATTTCACTGGTAGGTCCATCCATTTCTGGAACCACAGAGACCCTGAGCATACCCTGACTCTGGTTTACCTAACATGGTGATGAAACATGAATTAAAACTCAGTACTGGTAAAGTGTGAACATCTCCTTTAATGCAAGCTTTAACTCTGTCAGTGTGAAGTGGACTTTGGGTTACATATTAGAGACTTGGTGCTATCTGCCTTCTGGTTCTTCAGTAGTAAGTTCCTTGCTGTGAGTGTACCTGGTGGTTTCCAAGTTGCTGATGCCTCCACCCTGATGTTGTGCTTCTGAAGGTAGCCTCCCTGACCGAGGTGCCTTTGAAGAGTTAGTCATTGTCTCAGTCATCTAGTGCTGCTATAACGGAAATACCACAAGTGGATGGCTTTAACAAGAGAAGTTTATTCTCTCACAGTCTAGTAGTCTAAACGTCTGAATTCAGGGCATCAGCTCCAGGGGAAGCCTTTCTCTATCTCTAGCCAGAGGTCCTTGTCATCAGTCTTCCCCTGGTCTAGGAGCTTCTCAGCGCAGGGACCATGGGTCCGAAGGACATGCTCTTCTCTTGGCACTACTTTCTTGGTATTATGAGGTCCCCATGTCTCTGCTCATTTCTCTCTTTTATATCTCAAAAGAGATTGGCTTTAGACAAAACCTAATCTTGTAGATTGAGTCCTGCCTCATTAACATCATAGAGGTAAGATTTACAGCACACAGGAAAATCACATCAGATGACAAAATGGAGGACAATTACACACCACTGGGAATCATGGCCTAGCCAAGTTGACAGACATTTTTTGGGGGACACAATTCAGTCCAAGACAGTCATCAACATATAACCCCACCTTGGTCAGTTGAGCTTGTGCTGAGACCCAGAGTGGCTTCGTTGGTACACTGATAATGGACAGGACATGTAGACACAGGAGGGAGGACTGGAGGGAGCATGGGCGTAGCCTTGGCCTTGCCGTGGACTAGCTGTACAACCAAGGCCAAGTCACGTGGGTAGTAGTGGGTAGGCAGATCTCAAAGCAGCGTGATGTTATGGGTAAAGTTGTGGACTCTGGAGCCAGCTGCCTGGGTTCAGTCTTGGTGCTAGTTCCTAATAGTAATAGGTGGTTCTAGTTATTAATAGCTGATGCTAGTTACTATTACAGGAGTCCCTGGGTAGCAGAAATGGTTAAGCACTTGACTACTAGTTGAAAGGTTGGCAGTTCAAATCTACCCGAATGCGCCTCGGGAAACAGGCCTTGTGATCTGCTTCCAAAAGGTCCCAGCCTTGAAAACTCTATGGAGCAGTTCTGCTCTGCACACATGGGGTCACCATGAGTCGAAAACGTCTCGATAGCAACTAACAACAACAATTTACTGATATTAATACTTCTGTGCTAGTTACTTAACTTTTCTGTGCCTCTGTTTTCTTATCTATAAAATGGGGATAATCTGCATACCTGCTGTCATGAATTGTGTCCCCCCAATATATGTGTCAACTTGGTTAGGCCACCATTCCCAGGATTGTGTGGTTGTCCTCCATTCTGTGATTGTAGTTTTATGTTAAAGAGGATTAGGGTGGGATTATAACACCCTTACTAAGGTCACATCCCTGATACAATGTAAAGGGAGTTTCTCTGGGGTGCGGCCTGCACCACCTTTTATCTTACAAGAGATAAAAGGAAAGGGAAGTGAGCAGGGGTGGGGGCCTCATACCACCAAGAAAGCAACACCAGAAGCAGAGCGTGTCCTTTGGACCTGAGGTTCCTGTGCTGAGAAGCTCCTAGACCAGGGGAAGATTGATGACAAGGACTTTCTTCTAGAGTCGACAGAGAGAGCTTTCCCCTGGAGCTGGTGCCCTCAATTACAACTTGTAGCCTACTAGACTGTGAGAGAATAAACTTTTCTTTGTTAAAGCCATCCACCTGTATTTCTGTTACAGCAGCACTAGATGACTGAGACACCCGCCTTATTAAAATACTGTGAGAATTACGCAGGTTGATACATTCACAGAGCTTGGACCTGTGCTTATCATATGGTCAGAACCTAGTAATATTAGCGATGATGATGACGATTTATCTCTGGACTTCAGTTTCCTCACCTGTGAAATGGAAATAAAAATTCCTGCTCTTCCTGTTTCACAAGATTGTTGTGAAGTTTAATGAGATTGTTCTGGAAAGCACCTTGTGTAGATTTATTCAACAGTTTTTTTTTTTTAAGTCCAGACACAGGGCAAAGCCCAAGGAATTGTAAATCGCAAAGGTCCACACAAATATACAGTATTATTATAGTTGTAGTTAAAAAGTGTACTTATAAGTAAAACTTATATATCATCACAACTATGAAGTCACTCTACCTTGCCAGTTAATTTGAAAACTACAGTCGTAAAGTTTGGAGCATTAAGTTAGACTGAATTTCTGTTATCACAGCCTCTAATGTTCATGACGACA